AAAAAAAAAAAAAAAAAAAAAAAAAAAAAAAAAAAATCAGAATGAAGAATTTTGTTTTTTGCAAATTGCATTTTTATTGAAAAGTTTTTGCAGCATACTTTAGTAATAATGTTTGAGTTAATTACGTGGATAATTTAAAGACTACGAGAGAGTTACAGCACAGGAATACAAGAGAAAAACTTATGAGCTTATCAATAGTAAAAATGTTAATCAGATATTCAAATTGTGTTCGATTTTCATTTTTTTGTTTTTTTGTTATTTTTGTTTAAGTATGATCGATCTTTGGGTGTTTCAAGTACTCGTAATATTTCCATTGAGTCCAAAACTTTTGCCTGTTCATCAGTCTTCGGTGCGATTCGAATTAGTTCCTTCATTAATGATACAATCGCACGACCTCCCTTCAAAATTTTAAAATTTTATATTTGAAATAAAATACGATACTAAACGTTGTAATTGTATATAAATAATTAAGCATGTATAAGTGTTGTTGAGTCCTTAATTAGAGTAAAGAGTGGGCTGAAAGCAGATGAAGAGTGAATGAGCTGTTAAAGAGTAGAAGAAGAGAAGAAAATGGCTGCGAGAAATGCGATAGACGTGCCTCCGTGTAAAGTGTAGCGTAGAATGAACAATAGAATGAATGAACCGAAAGAGTGAGGGAGACAGATATAGTCGAGGAAATTTAATGATACAGGTGAATTATGAATGGAGAATAGTAAGTGAATGAGTGAGTGAATTCTTGGGTGTGAAACGAGTGCATTTCCGGTTTATTGTGCTTCGATTGCTGTCAAACTACGCTTGACATTTCCTGTATAAATATGTGTGTATGTATTCGCGTGTGCAGGTGTGTGTAGGTGTGTGTCTCGATGTATGTGTGTATTGTTGTCGCGTCCTCAGAGTATGTGGCAGTGCTTAGCGCGCAGCTGCTGGCGCACGGAGCGCAGCAGCGTGGGCTGGCCACTAAACAGAAGACGCTCACGCACGCACCTCATTCCTCTGGCCACACCATTAAATACAATCGCCCTCGACCTCCTCCTGGTTAACATCGGGGTCGAACTCGTCGTCGGCAGTAGCCTCCTGGTACTGCTGGTACTCGGAGACCAGGTCGTTCATGTTGCTCTCCGCCTCGGTGAACTCCATCTCGTCCATACCCTCGCCGGTGTACCAGTGGAGAAAGGCCTTGCGGCGGAACATGGCGGAGAACTGCTCGGAGATGCGCTTGAACAGCTCCTGGATGGCGGTGGTGTTGCCAATGAAGGTCGAGGACATCTTCAGTCCCTTGGGCGGGATGTCGCAGACGGCGGTCTTCACGTTGTTCGGGATCCACTCGACGAAGTACGAGCTGTTTTTGTTCTGCACCGCGAGCATCTGCTCATCCACCTCCTTCATGGACATGCGTCCGCGGAAGACGGCGGCCACGGTCAGGTAGCGTCCGTGGCGAGGGTCGCAGGCGGCCATCATGTTTTTGGCGTCGAACATCTGCTGGGTAAGCTCTGGCACGGTCAGGGCGCGGTACTGCTGCGACCCGCGCGAGGTCAGCGGGGCGAAGCCGGGCATGAAGAAGTGCAGGCGCGGGAATGGAACCATGTTCACGGCCAGCTTGCGCAAATCGGCGTTCAGCTGGCCGGGGAAGCGCAGGCATGTGGTGACGCCGGACATGGTCAGCGACACGAGGTGGTTGAGGTCGCCGTAGCTCGGGTTCGAGACCTTCAGCGTGCGGAAGCAAATGTCGTAGAGCGCCTCATTGTCGATGCAGTACGTCTCGTCTGTGTTCTCCACCAGCTGGTGGATGGACAAGGTGGCGTTGTATGGCTCCACCACCGTGTCGGACACCTTTGGCGATGGCACCACCGAGTAGGTGTTCATTATGCGATCCGGGTACTCCTCGCGAATCTTCGATATGAGCAGGGTTCCCATGCCGGAGCCAGTGCCGCCGCCCAGCGAATGCGTCAGTTGGAAACCCTAGAGAGCAAATGTGCGTCAGTGAATAACAACTAAATCTATGGAAATCGATAGTGACTGATAGGGATCGATAACAATTATCGATACGTTACTAGACTCTCAGTACTGTCAGCGGGTAGGGGAGTACTCTGAATACTCGTAAAGTCGCATACCTGAAGGCAGTCGCAATTCTCGCACTCTTTGCGGACCACATCCAGAACATTGTCAACTAGCTCGGCGCCCTCTGTGTAGTGTCCCTTGGCCCAGTTGTTGCCGGCGCCCGATTGGCCAAACACGAAGTTGTCCGGACGGAAGAGCTGGCCGTAGGGGCCGGAACGCACCGACTCCATGGTGCCCGGCTCCAGATCCAGAAGAATGGCGCGCGGCACATACTTGCCGCCTGACGAGCGACTCACAGCTGAGGGAATGCGAATGGGCGTGAGTCAGCAGTCAGAGGTATACGAATTGGCAAGACCAAGATTAAGAAAACTTACCAGATGCTTCATTGTAGTAGACGCTGACACGCTCCAGCTGCAGGTCGCTGTCGCCCACATAGATGCCGTTGCTGTCGATGCCGTGCTCCTCCGAAATGATCTCCCAGAACTGAAAACGAATGGAAAGATATTATGTTTAATGACGTTTACCATGTTCTTATTGGCTCTAAGACTAAGGTGGCAGATCATGACTCCTAGACATGATCGCAAATCTTAAATTCGAGCTGTCATTGAAAATAATCATCGAGTGGCTCCCAGATACACGCGACGTCTGTGACACCTCTCGGTTTTATTGAAATGATTCTGACGAAATGATCGTGTTCAGAACAATTTAATGGCTTTGGCCTGTGCCATCATAGGATATAAGAAAGGGATATAAGACCCTCTGCAGCTATTTTTATGTGCGCCGTGAGGAGCTCAGCTTTGGTGTCGAGGGGAGAGCCTCAAATTCGTAGATGGTACACTTCTATGTATACATAAATAGACCGGAATGGCTACTGTATATGTTATGATTAGTCGTAAAGGAAAAGTGGAAGGTTGGAGAGTCAATTGAATTCAAGGAAATTATTGGAGTTTCCCAGCGAATGATTTGAGTTAGACATTTGACTTATCTTTACTATTCAAATTCGTAGTTTTTAAGTCCCAAAGTGTATATTAATCTCGATAATCCATGTATTATAACTTGTAGATAAACGTTTTGGGATCTTCAGTCAATGGATATTAGCTTCTGCTCGTATGACTTTCCGCTCGATAAAGAAACTATAGAAAATTCTCAGTATACATACATTTATCATTGACTGCAGTCATCTGTCAACCTCCTGGCTTTTTGGTCTGTGACGATTGTCAGAGAAGGAGAGAAAGAGAGAGAGAGAGAGAGAGAGAGAGAGAGAGAGAGAGAGAGCGAAAGGCGTGTGTGTGTGTGTGTATGTATGTAAGCCCATCCAGCCATGTCAGAGTTCACGTACACACACAAGTATACAAATTATTAGAAAGTGTCTTTTTTCGGTTAGTTTTCCCTGTATTGCGACAGTGTGACAACGAAGTAGGCGCAACCGCGGCGCCATAAAGTTTTTTATTTATTTGTTTTCGGCTTAATAAAGAAAGAAAAGAGCGATGGGTGAGCCTCGAAAGTGAGACACATCGTGCACTTCTCGGGCCGAGAATTTATGTTTGGTTCAGCCGTCAGAGCTAGCCGTCGGATCTCTGCAACATGCCCTGATTTAGTGCTAAATTTAAAGAGGAACAACACACGGCCGACGCATGCAGTCAGAAATAGTTTTCCGACTTGGCTTTTTGTCTGCAAATACACAAGCATCCATAGCAGCATCACATACTTTTTAGTTGCATATACATACATATGTACATATATACATATATGTATGTATGATTGCAGCGTGTCGCGGCATGGGACACTTCCAATTCTGAATGCCCGCCGCAAGACAAGCGCTCCTGGGGTACAATGTGCATCCAATGTGCAACCTTATGCAGTGAAAGTGTTAAAAATAGCTCTGATTGAGGCGTTGCGCGTTGCCTGTGGGCACTGTGTCTGTATATGTAACACGGATACAGACAGATACAGATATAGATATAGATATAGATATAGATATAGATATAGATATAGATA